CACTTCGAAATTGTTCTCAATCACGTACTATTTCTCAATGTTTTTGTTGATGCATGTAACCAATTCAATAGTTGAAGTGTTAAGTTAAACAATTTTACTTTTGTTTAATAAAATCCAATAGCCGTTCAGGAGTTTAAATAACGTTTTAAAGTTTTTAGAAACGAATGAAAGGCTAATAAGTAGTTCTTCAGAATAGCACAGACTTTCTTGCACTAGTTTTCTAATCTCTTTAGTCTAGGCTAACTTTTCCGTATTTCCTTCACGGGGAGCACAATAAGACGTCAACGTCTGTGGTTGATCTACCAATGCAAATTTATTTTACCACTTAATATAGTAGAGGAGGGATTCCGGAGTTTTGGTAACGTGTACAAATTGAACTTCTCTATTTGCCACAGTTTTTAACCTTTTTTAGTACAATAAATAAATTTATCCACGACGATGAGATCATGTTCGATTGGTGCTCTCAAGCGAATGCTATGACTAGCTTCATAACGCAACTACTGCTCTTACGTGATTCATGATAGCCCTAGTTGGATTTTAACTTGAGTGTAACACTTTCTCGCGGGCAAAAGAAAAGCGCTGTTGAAAGAAAACGTGTTTACTATTAAATTCATTTGAAACAAATGACTTATCATAAATATGAAACGTAACATTCGTAGAATATTTTTCTTTAACATAAATCACTAAATGTAACTATTAGCAATATTGAACATTATTTGACTGAACAATATTTTACATTAACAGTAGTGGAAGTCGAATGTTAAAATAATGAATTTCTTTATTATTTACATTGGAAAGTCCAGGATTGTTAATCTTATCCAAAATCCTTTTTGGTACTTTTCCTTATTTTCTGCCGAATTGCCGGTGTAGCCTCAAGCTTAGAGCACTTAGTGTGACATTTTAAAATTAAAATTTAAAAAATATAATTGATTTGTACCCAACATGAAATGTTAGTATTAATAACCATGACAACAAATGAAATCATCGTAATCGCATCGTATGAAACGACCTCACTGCGCGCTTCGCAACATGTCTTCCGTATATTAACCAATGCAGATGTCGAGATGAATATAAAATAATATAGACTTATATATGTCACAGATAAATATTTGAATGAAACACGTTTGATATAAAATTAAAAACCAAAATACAACATTATTGGTTCTCATTTATAAGCATATCCTGCTACTGTTGATTTCTTGCAAGCTCATTTCAAATGCACACAATTATAACTTTAATGAGAGTACTTTTCCCATTGATTATTTTACTACACCAACTACCGTGTATAGATTCTGCCTACCCGTCCAATGTTAGAGAACATGTTCGCTTTCGCGTAAATCTATTTTTCTAGCGACTTTAACTTGACGTGGCGAATCAAGTATTTTCGACGAATTACTCGTGAATTTAATACATCCTTGTTTATTAAATAAAGGAAATGCACGCACTAATACAACAGCTACACGCAGTTATATATAAAGACAAATCGATAGGAAAGTCGAAGAAAAAGCGAGAAACCATGGTGAAAAGATCTTTCTCCCATGCCAGAAACGAATCGACAACCGATCAAACTTCAATACGCTGAAGTCTAATTGGGTCTAACGCCCGTCATTGTGAATGCTTGTTTTTAATGCTAAGTTTATGACTTTTCGCTACGTGTGAGTTTGCATTGCGAATGCGGCCTTGCCCTTCGCGCGTTTGCCGCCCACGCGCGCGCCCGGCGCTGCGAAGGGGGGGGGGGCTGGAGCTCGGCGCCGTTTAAAAGGCGCCGTCGCGCGCGCGCCGGCCATTTAAGTCACCGGGCGATGACACGGGCGGCAGCGGCAGGTGGCCAGCGCTCTTGGGCCCGACGCGCCTGCCGGCATCTTCTTTCCGGGAGGCCATTGGTCCCGAAAGTGTAGTGTATGTAGTATTCCGGGAGGTGCCGGAGTTCGTACCTCTACTGGATGGCGAGATCCGCTGGCGTCCTACACGAAGTCTTGCGGACTTTTCCTCTTGGTAGGCCGATTTCCCCCTACTGAGCACCGCCCGGACGGGGATAAGCTCGAACTTCCCGGTTAGTCTTCTGACAGGCATTTAAGTACAAATGTGTGTATGAGGCGACAGGAGAAGAGAGGATGAGGAAAGAAAGATCGCGCGCGGCCCGCTTGTATTCCTGGTATTGTGCTGAGAAACCGCTGAAGAAACCAATCGAAGTAGACCGCTAGAATTCTAGCCTAGACAGATTAGACCGAACAGTAGACCTGCGTAGTTAATATCGAACCGTTAGGACTCCTAGCACCGCCCCGTCACTGAGGCCTCAGTATAAGGGTGTTACTTCTGAAAAATTGCAGCCAGGGGAGAGGGGAACTAGGCAAACATTCTCAACTGACAAAGACAAATCCTCTAAACACATTTTGGAAATTGTGTCACATTCCCTTCAGAATGGGATGTGGAAGTCATGAATACGATTTATCGATAGAGTCGATTACACTGGAAATATGGAGTAACTTCTTTCAACATTTGCTATTGCGAAGCGCCATATCAGTGAACACACCATATAAGTTGGATTTGCTCTCAACCCTTCCGCTGCTCATAAGCGAATATCTCTTTGAGAATGCTTGTGCGAGCAGTATTCCTGCTGAAAATAATCAGATATATTGACTTTCCCTTTAATACAAGATTGTAATGGAATAATGACTTCTATTGTAACTTTATTAAATGGTGAAAACTCACACTCGACGGCTGTAAGAAAGTAAGGTAAATTTGCTACGCACTATTCCGTCCCATCTGCTTATTTCCATTCATTTTTCCTCCATCATCGTATCAGGAATAGCGATCAAAATTTTAGCATCCTCGGTGATGCATTAGATTTAATTTGAATAAAATGTCAGTAATTAACATAATGTAAAATAATTAAATAAACCATTGAACACCAGAAATGAAGTACGACAGTAACTATTCATAGAGTGACACAATGGAAGAAAAGTTGTAAACGAAAACGACGCATTCAAACCGATACAATCAAAAGAACAACAACACAGTTTCACTAGAAACCACTATAATACGAGACACTGAGTTTCTTGGCCGTCATTCTGTCACCGCCAGCCTTCACTATCACTGGAGCGGCTTCCAGGACAAAAAGGTCATCTCCTGACGTAGTCACTGATAGGACAGACGTGGTGTAAGGGTTATCACATAAGGAACAAACACTTCCATAACACAGCATTACAATTGGCTAACTCACTGTTCCAAATTCTACTGAGCCGTTTAGGGAAGAATGTTTTATTTTGTGTACTTTTCTCCGCGTGCGACGATTTAGGAATTCAACCTTCCAGCTCCCGTCTCTTCGAGAGGTGCCTCTCCGCAGTAACTGAACTTCGTGATGTCCTCAGAGCTCTCGTCCCCATCGCTGTTCCCTGCTGCAACTGTAACAGAACAGGTTCACAAACGCGCCCACAGCAACACAAAGCCGCGAATCGTTTAGGAGCCACATTCGGGAAAACCCGCAATCACTATTCCGTTACATGAACGCACCGCGGCTGACAACTCATGCTTTGCAATTTAAAATCGTTAATGGGTAGGTTGTCTTTCCGTACGAGGAATATCCAACTCACGAGAGTTAAATTATTTTCAAAAACATTGTATATATTTTACACCTTATCGAGACTTGTTTGCTTATTAGCATCAACTTCATTTTTTAGGCATCCCTAAGAATCTGGAGGTGACAAGTGGGCAAAAGAGGGCCAGAAACATCTTGAAATTAATCTGTCCTCGAAAACATTCTTCCATAAATTGCATCAACCTGGCAGTACATGATGATGCGTTACTGATCAAACAATTCCTGTATCGCGAAAGCAGATCGCTGACCGAAATGTGAAACTCTTGTTCGGAACTGACTCCGAAGAAAATCTTCCACTGAAACGGTTCTGGCAGTCTTTGAAAGGGGCTGGAAAATACTCCTCCAGTACAGATTTGCGAGGCTGTATGACTCGTTCCTTCTTTTCAAAACAGAACGAAGGCGCAGTTGTTCGACCGGGCAGACTGCCGGCCACGGTGAAAGGCAAGGGCTGAGCTAAGAGACCGTCACAGAAACGCAACCAAAGACCGGACGCAGAAACAATGTTTTCACGTTTCGCCTGGAACACAAGGATTGTATTTTAAACAATCCTATTTATTTGTATTTGCGTAGTCAATTTACAATGAACTTCATTTACCTGAACTTAAACTTCAAATTCATTTCCAAAATTAAGGTCTTTCTTGCTACTTACGACAAGTTTCCACTGGATTCAAACAAATCATTTTTAAAACTTATAAACATTCTGAGAAATTTGTATAAATAAAATTGGAGTGTATGATTACAAAGTAACCGTTTTTAATAATCTCGTAAGCTTATTTAGTTGATATAAAAACTATTTCATTTTAGTTTTTACGATTTTGTCTGTCCAGCATAATCTGATATGGCTCAACTGATTTCGAAGAGTTTTTTTACCGAAAGAGAGCGTTTTGTCAGGGACATTTTATGCAATTTTTTAGAAAAAATATTTTCTTTTATAAAATATGTTAATTTTGCATTCAAATCTAGTTTTCATACTATCTTAATTAAATTCAGTGCAGGAGACCTTGAAAACATACCGATAGTGAGATTTCGTAAAAATTACGTCTATCCTACTTCGTACCCAGAGAGCAATATTTAAGTATACTCTTTCAGTTTTTCGCAATTATCTCCTAGGTAGTGAATAAAACGTTTCTGAAATGTCCAAATAAATCCAATTTGTTTCATTCCAATTACGCAAATAGATTCAGAGTACTTTAAAAGTAAGTAGCAATGCAGGTTTTCAACTGGCCACAGTAAGCATGGTATGGTGGAAAGGAGTAGGGCAGACCAGGTGAGGTAGAGTAATAAATACCCAGCAATGCACGACACTTCAGATAGTCATTTGAAGCTACAATAACTACAGAAAACATAGTAACCCAACAAAGGATATGAAGGAACTGCAATAAGGGTAAAAGAAGAAACTCAGTTTGTTTGCTATAATTTATTTAAGACTTTTTAACAAAGCCCTATAAAATTCACTAACATTCCATTTGTGGCACACAAAAATCAAAACTTTTAACATCCAATATCCATCTTTCGTACAGTCTCTGGCAGCTCAATTAAAAATTACATGAAACTGTCAAAGTTAATATCACTGAAATGGTATAAAAGAACAATACTGCTACCAAAATTATGAAAAGCAAAAATCATACTAGCAAGAATAAAATGATAATTGTGCCAATCAATATTTCTCCAAGTACTCTTTCCCCTGAAACACTCAGGTTGCCTTTCTCTCTGCAGTCTTTTCCTCCATTGCATTAGGAATGAATGTGCACAGGATAAGCGAGTCATTATAATTGTCACTGGATGTATAGTAACCAAAATAAATGCGACAACTATGAGTATAGAATACAAAAATATCGAATATGAATTAAGATCTGGAATGTGTGTGGCACACAATGTGCCACAAAGAAGGCAACTTGTGGCATTTGGTTCTTGAGGAATCTACATTACACATGCATATATAATCCAAACATAACCCCCTCCTAAAAGTCCTTGAAAATATTGTAAAGGCTATACTAGCAGTGTGTGTATGCACCTTCACATACACAAGTGAACACACATGTTACAGGCCTTACAGTAAACTGTAGAATCCCTTTTCAGTTTTCCTTATAAGTCTTTTTGCTATCACTATGTGGAGGTCATCCTTCACATTTTCTAATATCAAAATAACAAATCCCTATAAAAGGTTTATTAAATTATTCAGTATGTGATTGGAAGTTATTTGCAAAATTACAGAAGGAAAAGTTTTATAAAAATTACATTTACAAGAACAACATGGAGTAAGCCACTGAAAATATCACACTTTTCCAGAACTGACTGATGGATCAGCCATTGTAACCCCCTCAGCCTCTAGCCATAAAACTATGTACAAGAATGATTTATCTGAACAATAATTTACACAATTTAGTAATAATGATTGGCAATTACACATGTATGCACCATGAACTGAAATTAAAATATCTTTTACAACTGTTGACATGTCCTTCCCAGGCCACTTAACTTTTACTGAACAAGAAAACTATGGCATACACAATTTTCATGCAGGTTATAATAAAATACTGCACCAACAAGCATTCTCAGATATTGCTAAAGGTGACCTGAGACCCCAATATTACAACAGCATTTGCTTTACATTACAAACACTGTAATATCAAGCAGTCAGCTTTAAGTTCCTATAATATCTGCTAATAACATCCTTATACCTGACTGATGGATACTACAATGACTTTTTTTATCACATAATACTTTCAATATCAACATGCTCTCTTCATGGAAAAATCATTTTAATAATAAACAGATGAGCAATTATATTCAGCACAAATGCAAGTTCCCATAGGGAATGATGCACATACATGTTCTTCCGTATTGTCGTTGTATTTATATGTAAGTGATATGTTTGAAGGAAGTCAACTGTTATCAAGGATTGTTACTAGCAGCAGTCTCAATTTTTTTAGCTAGTTCTGAAACAACTTCTCGATAAATTAATGGATCCATGTTCCTCCCAAGCATATACAAAACCCACCAGTCTCCAACCTCTGTTTTGCGCGATATTGCTTCTGCCACCTCTCTGGATATGTATCTGTTTCTCGTGTGCAGTAATCTGGGCCTGATTGACGGCAGTGCCAAAATTAGGGCACGATACACAACAAGAAGGGCAAGTAATGTGGCCATTATTATATACCAAAACCAAAGGAAAATGTAGGTCTTCTCATTTACAATGTTCAGAGGCAAGACACACAAGGAGTCATGCTTCTGTATTGTTCCTGATGGGCCAAATTTGTGGAATGTGCACTTTGTTACTCGAGGGAACACATAAACCATCGGGTCCACTCTTTCTTCTTGAGCCTGCTGCGAAAAACTCATTACTCTTAAACCATAACTGAAAAATTCACCATCAAAGAAGTGATTCATGAGATAAAGCTGGCCAATGATGTTGATGAGGCACAAGCATTCACAAAACCAGTAGCGCAGGGCATACATGTTGTGTCTCTGAAACAAAGAAACAACAAAAAATTAATGCACAAACATACTTTAGAGAAAAAACTCAAGTTTATTGCTTTCCTTTTGTTTAAATGTGGTTTTGTATTCACATTTATTTTTTTAAGTTGTCACGAAATTTACTAGAAAAAATGTAGATCAATCAGTTAAATAGTTTGGATAAATAAATGATACATAATAAATGATAAATTTCAAAATATTTTGCGAACCATTTAGACATTATGAGTCATCTAAACCTTGCAATTTATCTCCTTTTACAAGATAAGATTGAACAAACAATAGTACCTTTAATCCAAATAAAGAAAAATATGAAAGAACAAAGGTGCATTTGCTTTACACTGTACTTTTTCTTTAGAAGCACCACACGTATAAACGTCTAATTACAAACTTAATTCAAGTAAACATTTAATTTTACAGTCATGGTCAATTCATTGAATGTAATTTTTGAAATGTAAATATGTGTATCAGACTTATCCACGAAGTATTAGCTGAATGGAAATTTCATCTTTCAGTCGGCCTCCAAATGATTCTCTTACAGACGACGTTATTGTGCAACTACTTTATATATATATATATATATATATATATATATATATATATATATATTAATAACTATTGTAGCAGCTACGTATTCTACAGCCATGCGATCGTATATTTAATTAGAATAAACTACATTGAAACAAAATTGTATCCGGTTACGAACTAAATTTGTTGGGCATCTGTTAAAATATTACGTTAATTATAATATATATAAATATATAAATATATATATATAAAAATAATTATAATGCTCATAATTTGAAAAGGTCGCAAAAGATTCAATAGCTTCCTTTATATTTTCAGTAATAAAATTGAAGTCAACAGATTTTCGTAATGTGAGTAAAATAAATTATGTATTGCATCTTTCCCGATTTTCGAAATGTACAAAGAGCTTTTGCCGAAACCTTATACAATTTGAGATAAATTTTCCGAGTTTGCAAGTGATTTTACGAATTATTTAACACAAAAACATTCTGCGATGGTATTGTAGAAACTCAATTTTATGGACATTGATTCTCCGGGATTATGTTCGAAAATGATGAGAATTAAGTTGACAAAATTAATAGCAGTAGAACAACTGACCAGCAATCTTGGGATGATGTTATTAATGTAATCATTTTATTTGGAAATGAACATTGAATTGTCAGGTGGAAGAAAATTACAAAATATGAATCTATACTTCTAAGCTAATTTCACGAAACAAAATTGTAATGTATTGAATGGATGTAAATACGTACATATACAACCGTTTTCATACATTTCTTAACACAGTTGAACAAATAAAGTATTTCCGTACGGAGAATTCGGTTTTTCTTTGGACCCCTTTCTGTCGCAATAGAGCAGAGAGGTTCTACTACACTTGGAAATAAAGTTCTTGTACTGACATTCTCTTTTACGGAATGGCTCTCCTGGCTACCGAATGGAAAATTCCGTAAGACTTAATCGTTATTCCAAGCTTATAATGAATCTAAACATGAAGGAAAGTTCCAATGCATTTGCTGACCATTTATAATACTTTAGTGAACAGGTTTAATTCTGTGACAGCCCTCCCCCCTTTTAATCCTGCTCTTTCACGAAATCGAAACCAAACATGCTTTAATACCGATTGTGGCAAAATTGTGCGACAACAACAATAAATAGGAGATCAGTTGTTACGAATTTGTTTGATAGCTGTATTGTATAATAAAATAATTTAAAAACAATTTTCTTTAAATCCATGGGGGTCAATCTAGCAATAAGAGAGTTGTTACGAATTTGTCAGGAAGAGCGAAAATAAACGCCAGCGAGAGTTCGCCTCGTGTACCGGAAACCAAAGAGCCGAGATTCACAATTTCCCATCGCGAGCGACGAAGCTGGCTCGTGCATCAGGAACGGACTCTGCCCTCCGAGCGCAGCGTTCTTTCCGAAGCTTCGCCAGGTGCGGCCGCGCGACGGAGCGCGCTCCCAGCGGCCGGGAAGGCGGGCGCGGAATCTTTCCCCTCTCGAGCCGGCCCCCCCCCACGGCGCGGCGTCAGCCGCCCGCCCATCAAGTGGCGGGGCGCGCGGGGCGGCGCGGGCGGCGCGGGGCGGCAGGCAGACGACCCGAACGCAGAGGCCTCCGTTGGAGGCGGAGCCACAGAGGCGGTTCGGTGCAGACCCCATACTTTTTAATTGTTATCGTAAAATAAAATTAATGTACGAGTGCACTGCTAATGTGAATGTTGATGTCTCTACAAGGTAACAATAACTTGAATAAACTTGAGAATTACGAAAATGTTAACAGGGGGGGGGGGAATGGGGGCTCGGCGCCTTCGATCCGCCACTAATGAGCCTTACAAATATTTAGTTTTTAAAAAATGAAATGGAAAAATCGCGAATCAACGTCTCATTAAATAATTAATACATACAAAATAATCTTCGAAGAAATTATGCAGTCTTCTTTATTACATTAGAAGAAAACGAAGTTTTCTCCTAATGCAGTGTTTTTATCGACTAAACTTTTTGGAAAATTGTTCAGAGCTGTGATTCAAAGTTTCAGGAACGTTCTGAGCGCGGTCTGGTTAATATCTCTCTAGTTAATAGAGTCCCTAAGCATTACAAAAATACGCGCCCCCTCATTATATTGAAATATCGGACTTTTCTGGTGCGCAAGTGAATTGTAAAAATTTTTGCTATTTTGCAGAAAAAAGTTTTAACTGAAGCGAAACTGTTACTTCGCGCTCAGACTGTTTTTTCTGGGAATATTTACTTATAAAAATCTAGAGTGTTTGCTAAACCGTAAAACACTTCACTTAAAATTTTCGATTTTTTAGAACTGCCTCTTTTCTTGTACACCGACAATGTGTAGTCAATATAAATTTGGAATGTATCCGTAGCAATAAAGTAATTTCGTAATACAATCATTGTAGAATTCACTACCATGTAATGATGGATGTAGTTTAGTAGGTGGGAGTAGAAACAATTCAACTTTGCTAACTGGTTTCTACTCCTACCAAACCCCGTGATGTGCATCGCTAAATATAAATAATCAGGGCCCATTCCTGAATGTCGTGTAGCCATTTGCAGGGGGCGCTGCCAGGCCCGCCCCGCCTCGCACGCCGTAAAGAAGGTGCGTTTTATTGACGACGGCGTCGCACGTGAGGCCCACGGGCCTCCCAAACGAAAAACAAAAGGGCGTCGCGCCGGCCTCAATAAAACACCCGGGGAAGCGGGAGAAAGTTTACACAGCGGCAGACGGATCATAAAAGGATTAAGAGTCCCCGACTACCACGGCCTCCAACGCCGCAGGATACGCTCAATTCTCGGCCGACATCAGATTTTTTTTAACGGGGGCACGTCTTCGACGGCTCGTCTCTTGCGATTGCGGGGCGCGTCAAGAGTTTGGTTATAGTTCGGGGGAGGGGGGAGGGCACGATAAAAATGCAGGTGACGGAAGTGGGCGATAATTGCTCCGGAAGCGCCTGGGCTGGCGAGAGCGTAGACCCCTGCAGCGGGCCCGCATCCGGCCGCCACTCGCCCGTCCCTTCCACCGCCGCCGCACGTGGGGGTTGCATCAGCCTCGGAGGCGGCGCATAGCAGTCTCTCGCCCGCGCCAACTTGGCCGAAGGCTCCCTATCCATTGGACCTTTGGCCACAAATTGACGGGCTCAGCAGAACATGGGCTACCCCATGTAAACATGATTCTGAGAAAATAAGGGGTTTTCCCCTCAACTTCCCTAATATGACTCAATTCATTTTTGAACTTTTAAACGCAGTACACTTGCATTTAAGTCCATGATGTATTTAAATAACACATTACCTTAAGGGATTAATATTTGAAGTTTTGCATAATGCTAATAACTCAATTTCACAAAAAAAATGTCGGATAGCTCCTTGTTCTACTGAGCCTTTTTAGAGAAGGCTGCAAACGTTTTGTATTAATGCTGTTTCACAACATGGTCATTCTCTGCTCAATTAATCGGTCTTTCAACGTAGTATTTAAACGTTCACATAGAAATTTACTACACCAAACATTCTCAGAGGTTTTGGGACCTAGATATATGCACCTAAAATTCGAATCAGATTGTCAATAAGAACTGCAAAAAATTATTAATTTTCTGACTGATTAAAAACAACCGTTTTTATTTTATTTATGGTATTAATGCTATTTTGATAGTTCGAACTTTTCATTTTCTTCTATGAAATTGCAAATTATCATTAAAATGATATTAAGCACCCTGGCTTATAAACTTTATGTAGTTCTTCGAATACTTCGCAAAATCGTACAATAAACAAAATACAATCAGTCTGGTACCCCCCTCCCCCAAATAACGCGGAAGATACTACACACTATACTTGTGAAATAACGACCGTCCCCACGTCGACTTCTCTAAAGGAAAAGGTTGTCGGGCTTTGACTACCCATTAGTTGCACTCCTAGTCTTCGTAATCAATTAGAGATGTAATAAATTACTTCATTAAATTTTTACTTTAACTTTTCGTAAGATAATTTGGGAATCGACTCAAACCCTTGAAAAAATACAGCACATTTCAATAGACCTATTTATGAATGCGAGATTACAAAGTATAATGTTTGATTTTGAGGTTATGACATTAAAATAAGGCTTAAAATGCTTGAACGTAATATAAATAGGCAAAAATGAATTCTTTTATTCTGAAACCGATCTACTTTCTCTGCAAAAAGAGCAAAGGCTCTTGATATTTCTCCTAAACCCTTTTCTAAGAACAAAGTCGAAGACTTGATTCGATGTGTCATTACTACCGAGAAGGGGCACATAAATTACAGAAGAATGCAGCGGCGGAAGGGAGCGGGCGGCCGAGGGAAGGGTAGCTCGGTGCGCCGCGCCTCCAGAGGTCGCCACCAGGCGGCGCGCGGGTCGCCGCCTTTGGCCCAGGGCACCGTCCCTTCGGGGCGCCTGCACCGCGCCTCCCTGGCCCCCCAAACGCACGAATTCTCTCCTCCACCACCGCCTCCTGGGCACCGCGGCGTTACATAAGCGAGTCTCCAGCTCGACCCTGGGAGCCTTCGTGGAGGCGTCGAGTGTCAGTTCCTTGGAAAGTGTGACGGAGAGAGCGCGCGCGTACATACCTTGACGTGGCGCAGCAGGTATTCGATGAGCGCCTTCTTCTTCTTGGTCTTGTCCTCCTCCTTGCACATGCCCACGTTCAGCCCCATGATGATGGTGCGCAGCAGGTTGCCCTCCCACGCGCGCCACAGCCAGTGCGGCGTGTAGCACATCACGGCCTGGAAGAACAACACGAAGCACACCCACTGGTAGTAGGTGTAGTACTTCTTGCTGTCCTCCTCGCCGTAGTCGTTGGCCACGCCGGGGTGCGCCACCTCGCTGCCCGCGCGCCGCAGGAACGCGTCGGGCATCGTGAAGGTGGACGTGATCCAGCAGTAGGTGTTGATGGCCCGGGCGGGCAGCCCCTTGTTCACGATGCACTGGATCGGCGTGCCCACATACTGCGTGGCGGTGATGATAACCGAGCACGTCAGCAACAGCACCGTCGTGAACAGGTTGTGCAGCCTGAAGACGGCGTTGTCCACCACAATGTCCTGCCACTTCAAATACTCCTTGAACCCTCCGAGAAGTTTATACATCTTGACGGCTTGTTAATCGCGCACAACACAACAAACAACAACAACACAGGCCCTCTTGCGACACCAGCGATCGGACACTACACCCAATGTTTTTCCAATATGGCGGCGTTTCGAGACACTCGGTAGATTCGAAAAGCTCTACCGGCCGCGAGGTTCAGTCTTCCTTCTACAGCAGCAGTCGCGTTCGCTCACTGGGAAACCGGCAGTAACGAGGCCATCTTCTAACCTCGCCCGCGCGATTCAACGTCCGTACTCACGCGCCTCCGGCGGTGGCCTGTTGTTCACCCCAAGGGAACTGGCGGCGTGTCTCTCCCATTCCCCGTCTGCGCCTCGAGTCACGTCGGCGGCGGCGACCGCGCTGGCGGGCACGGCACGGCACGGCGTCTCAGTCACTCGCTGACTTGCCCGCACGGGCCCACACGGCGTGGCGCGGCGCGGCGGTGGTTATGCGGGCCGGCTGCCTCGTGAACGCGACCCTCTCTCTCCGCGCCGCCAATCGTAACCATGGCTACAACCTCTCCCCGGCGCCCCTCCCCTCTTCCCCCACCGCGCGCCCGCTACTCTCGTGCGCAGGCCCCGCTATATGCCCGCCCGCCCGCGCCGTGCTCGCCGAGGCGGCCGGGGGGGGGGAGGGGAGGGCGGCCAACAATCATTATGCTGGCGGCGGGGAGGACCCGTTGTCGGTGGAGTCCTCTCTCGGCCCTTCCGGGAATCACAAGGGGTGCGCCAGACCGCCACTATGCTACCCCCGATTTGCACCAGTCCGGAGGGTTGGAGGATAGACCGAAAATTGTTTCGAAATTGCTTCAAACAACGAAATTCTTAGTTCATACAAATGTTGGAAAACTTATTGAGTCTTTTCTATATAACGCATTTAATCCTTCAAGCATACTGAACAATATATTGAGGTAATTCTCATATCTTTAAATAAACAAATTTTTAAAAAACCTACAAACTTTTGTTCGTGACTACTAATAGACTTCGAAATTTCTATTGTGAGTAAACGTTATCTGGATATTCATTGTCATCTTACCAATTTTGACAGAAACCCTGACTCACAGAAAATACAATTTTAGTTCTTTCTAACAAAATACGAAAGTTTCAGCCAACGAACTTCAGTTATTCGTTATTTTGTATATTTTGCACTGCTTCAAATTACAAATAGATCTTATCATTCTGGAATCAATTTATTATGGAATGAGGAAGATCAATCTGCATCTTCAGTTACAGCTAGAGAATAATACTGGTCTATTCAGAAGCTAATTCTCATACCTCACCAGATGTCTTAAAAACCTAAAAGCAAAAAACTTCTTCGCCTCCAATATTGTTCTATTTGATGTGTATCGGAAGGAGTGGTAAGCCATACAAAGAAGAAATGCGAATTTCTAACCAGGAGATCGATGTAGATGATTAAATGTGCTTCATGTCACTTGAAGTTTTACGCAATAATTTGAATGTATTAGCTTCACCAAGAAGTTCTCCACATGAAACTTATTTTAAACAGGGAACTATTAGTTTTTTTCACTAATAAAATAATTAATGATCATGCAGACTGCATGTTCTGAATCCACTTAAGTTGTGAAGTATACATCACGTCTACAAGGTTTTTGCTAGAATTCCTCGTTAATAATAGTTGGGTTGGATAATTCTCGGTTTCCCTCACCGTGTTATACATAATTATAAGTATACAGTTTTTCTATAATTACTTTGTATTTCAAATGCATATCAAACAACTACATTGAATATGTTAACTTAATTAAGAACAATGGGTATTTTTGTTCAACGTTAATCAGACATCTTACATTTTATCTTACATTTTTGAAGTCGCAAAATTTGGTGTACATATGCCTCGAACCTATGAAGAAATCTGGACCCTATGTGGACAAACGTCATGCATCGTGAGAATTACGTACGTAGTAAGGAGCCAAGAGGTCGCAAGAGACCAAATGAGAACATTATTGCTACTAAAATCGTATTGTACGAGTGTTTGAGTTGGATTAGGTTGTTTTGTCTCGAGAGAGTTAAAGTGCTGAAGGATGGAAATGGATAAACAGGTCTCTAAACAATGCTATGAACATTTATATGTGATAAATGGTGAATATATGTTGATAATTGGTTATATTGGATACATTTTTAAAGTATGATGAATGTTTCGCAGCAGAACAACTCCGAAAATTAAAATAAACTTGTAATTATATATTTTCTTAATTATTCACATTTTGCATATTCGTTTAAATACTTTTAAGAATTTAACAAAAAGGGACTATGTCTGAGAATGTCATTTCGAACATTGAATTATAGTTCGAATTGTAGTACGTTTACTGTTACATAACTGCTGAAGAAGTCGAAAAATTCGGAGTTGAAGTTACAAAATTTAAGTAAAGAACGAAACAAATATATTACATACTTTCAATATCAGGTTTGCATCAAACCATAAATGCACAGTGTGTTTAAAACTAACTCCCGAAGTTGGACAGTTCTCCGATAGCCGTGATCGTCTAGTGGTTAGGACATTGCGTTGTGGCCGCAATAACCCAGGTTCGAATCCTGGTCACGGCAGTGGAAACACTGTCACGGCGGAGAACATTTTTATTCATTTCCCATGGTTAGGTGTCTTTCAAAATCGAATTTCGTAGTGACGAGATTCACCTCTTCTGGAATCTCTCTCAGTATTGATTTTTTAAACGCTTCATTTCTTCGTTCGTTTAAAGCCTCGAAATCAATCCTGTCAAGTGAGATCTACTTGATAGAATCCTTTTTTGAATACCAAGGAGAATTTCTTTGAAATGATTGTTATTATCACTTACACTTAAAGCATTTTACGCTTTGAATTGGAAATAATAACCTTTCCGGAAACGAATTCAAAAGATATAATGTTCAGTATTCACATTCAAAGAAATGTATCTATTTTTGTTTACTCTTTGAAGAGTTAGCACCCATGTTGTGATTGCTTTTGTATTGCAATAAATAAACAAATACAATTAAATAAATACTACATTTTGTAGATTTCAAACAATTACATATGTACTGTGTTAATTTTTCGCTCGAGATTACCATTCTTGAATTATAAGAAAATCAAAAAATTGTTGTTTTTTTTATGTGAGATCGCGTTCTTATTTGGACCCTATGCTTCTTGTGAGAATTGGAATTTGGAATTGAGAACTGGGCATGTTCATTAATTTACGGACTGTTCAGCGACTGTGAGAAAAAACATGAAAACTGCAATACACAAGATACACATTCACTCTTTGCAGTTCAGTCAATTTCCAAATTTCAGTTACAAATTTGCTTTTTAATCTTCTTATGTTATGACTGTTTTATAATTGAATATGTGTAGTATATGGTCCTCTATGTATTTTAGACATTTCATTTTATTACGAAATTGACTAACATATATAAATAGTACACAAATTTGCTTTTTCGTAAGAAATGTTTTAGATGTTCTCTTTTACTTAGATGGAGTTTGGCAACCCTAATTTAGGGTGAGATATTCGTAACATCTTTTCAGGAACAAACCTTTAGACAACTGCACGCAATCACGAGTATGAAAGGAAAGGGTTACAAAGAAAGAGGCATTTTGAAGTGCCAAACAAAAAGTAAAGTTATTCCGAACTCACGTGTTTTACAACCTTAGAAGTATATATTTTTACCTGCTTTATTAATTTTCTTAATTAGAGAAATCTGCGTTAATGACGTAGCTGTTACATTAATTCACTCGTAAACGTCGGAAGAGATCATTCTTCAGAAACGTCGCAAGCCTTCAGCTCCTCAGAATTCCTAAAGATAGCATTACCTTGGCAAATAATTTTCAGTAAAATTGGATAAAAGCACCCTTGCCGTGACAGTGTTTCCACTGCCGTGACCAGGATTCGAACCTGGGTTATTGCGGCCACAACGCAATGTCCTAACCACTAGACGATCACGGCTATTGGAGGGCTGTTAGCGATGCAATCCGGTATATAATCTATCTGAAAGGGATGTATGATGATTCATGATGATTTATGTTTGAGTTTGTTGGGTAATTTGGGTTTAGAAGAATGCTCATTACGTTAAAAATAAAGGAAAAGGAATTCGCCGTATATTTCACATTCATTAAATTTTAATATTTGGGGACGTTGAGTTATTTTCAAGATGAAAATTCAATTCATATTTGAATCATGCCATCATGTATTGGAAGTTATGAGATTTTTGCATGTATTTTTTTCTGAAGTTTCAAGAGAAGAATATTTCAGTAATGTAGGTGAAATGTTTTAAAAACAAATCTGAAAGTTTCGTATTACAAGGTGGTTAAATTTCATAAAGTTTACTTGCCTTTTAATGCTTAGATGAATATAAACAGTGCATAAATATCAATAAGGAATTAATAAAATTAAATTCATTGTATACTACCAATAAATACATTGTTTAATGATAATGTACAAATTAAATACATTGTATATTTTTTGCAATTCTTGCATCACATTGCACGATTTCATCTATCTCACATTTTCAATAGAATATATGATCCTGCTCTTAGGATAGACGTTCGAAAAAGTCAGCTCAAAGTTCGTGTGCACTTGGGCGCGGCGCGTGGCACGTATTTGAGCACTTCTTTTGATTGATTGAACTTCAGTTCTGATCTGACCCTTCTAAATGTTTTTAAATAATGAAATATATTTTATTTGTTAGCTAAAAAAGTGAAAGATGTATATCTCATGGAATGTCACTAGCTACACAGCTAGGTCGAATTCGGCCAGTCTAGAGAAGAATTCTAGCGCAAGGTAGTTTGGTTTCTCTGATTAGATGGTTTCTCCGATGAACAACAGGCGAATGTTGGAGCACTACCGTTTTAAACGGGCCACGGACCGCACGAGATCTTTTCTTCCCTTTCCTTGTTCTATTCTCACCCCTTACTTACACACACTTACACAGATGCATTCCACTACCTCGCGTGCCGGCAGACCAGTTGGAGTTTAAAGATTGTTCCGGTTGGGGCGGTGTCTCGGCGGAGAAAACCCTGCAAGCCGACGTGTGGGTCGGTTCCGGATCCCATCATCCAGTGGGAAAGATAACCGCCACCTCCCGCGATGAAAATACCTACGAGACTAATGACCTTAGCAGTTGGCACGCCCGAAAACATGAATCAATCTAAACATAATGACAATTGTTTATATTATTTGTACTGTGATGTGGTTGGAGGGCAATAATCTACATTTAAACCTAAACGTATACTAATCTTACAATCTACTATTTGCAATTTTTCGCTACTTATTTACATTATTTAACATACTAATGCTTACTTAGAAAGAAACTTACAGTAGTCTATTTATATACAATATTCACCCGCACTAGTACTTGCAATCTAAACTTATGTACTACCACTGAGGCTTTTATAGTAGTTATGGCTTCGTGAGGAGTGAGCGCGGCGTGCAAGACAAGCCGCCCAGCATGTCCCCGATTGCCCGAGCGGACGCGGCGTCGCG